AGTTTTTATTATTAGATATATATTATATACATGTGGCCGTTACACCTTGTGCACCCTAAAATCCTGTTTTTCAAATCTTCTGATCAGCAGAGTCAGGAGAGTGGGCAAATATTTCAGATATATTGAATGTTTAAACTCCCCTTTCACTACTGAGACAGAGGTGTCAGACAATGGCTAGACCATGAATATTCTTCTCATTAATGGATACTAGAGACTAGTAAACAATTAACTCCCTCTCTACTGGTGGGGAAGGACAGAAGATTATAGTGCCCTAATAGCTCTCCTTTCCAATGGTACAAATGATGAAGAGAAGTAATCCCTTGGTAAGGACTTTCATTTAGTAAGATCATTATGTTATGGAAATGTTTTTCTTTACAGCTTATAATACCTAAGTAGCAGTTTCCCAGCAGTTGTCCCTGGCCACATGTGAGTTGGTTTTGGGGTGAAGCATACATTAATTATAATAAAATATATTCTTACCTGGTCTGACTGATAAAAATATTGTGGCTTACATGGCTAATTTGGAGTGTATCCAAAGCCAACATTTCCTTTTCAATTTTGGATAGAGTGTTTTCTGTCAAGACTAGGTTAAGGTGAAGTGATGGATACAAATCCTAAAATGAAAGGGTCGGTAATTACTTGAGCCTGATGGCTTGGGCCAGGTAGTTCTCAACAAAACACAGGTAGACCTCATGGCGGAGGGAGGCCAACCAGACTGAGAAATCAAAATACAATAATTTCAAGCCCTGATGAATGGGAATTCTTTGGGCTTTGGTTTCCTTTTGTTTCCTTGCTGTTTATAGTTGAATGATTAAGTACTCTGTATTCTTTAGATGTCTGTTTGGTGCTCTCATTTACCTGAAGTTTTTATTGCTATTTGTGTTTCCACTGGAAATATTCACCTTCACTATTTGCCTGGTTGACTACTATCACTTAGACAGAAAGTGACTGGGGTATCCCAAATCGTTGATTTGTCACAGGAAAGGAAATAGAGGGAAATTCTTTCAATGAGTGCACATGCTTTGGTTAGAACTAAGAGAGGATTTCTACTGATTATGGAGATATTTACTCTTACTTTTTACTGTGTATACCGAACAGGAATTGAAGGGAAAGCTCTCCAAAGGAATGTACATGTCCAAAAACAACTGACAAGGGTTTTAACCATTCCCCACTCTTTCTACAGTTAATAAAAATAAGCTTTGGCTTTAAATATACTTTAATATCAAGTGATTTCCAATAGCAATTTTTTAAACATTGCAGCTACAAAGGTTACATCATTAAAAAATAGTAGAAAATAAGAAACTCACTTTCGATCATACCAGGTCCCTAAATGTCACAACTTCTACTACCCTCATGCTTATCATTGTTCCACAGCGGAGTCTAAGACTAAAGGAGTGAGCATTCTACTTCATCGTCACTCCGACTGGAAGCTGGCAGACACGTGGTCCTGCCCAGAGGGGCGGGCCCTTTTTGTCAAAGGGACCTTAGGTGGTCAACTTTGCACCTTTGCCAATCTATATCTCCCCAATGTACACCAGATCTCCTATCTGGAGTCGATACTGGAACGTCTATCCCTATTTGCGGAAGGGGTGTGGGTGGTCGGAGGGGACTTCAACTTGGTAATGGAACCGTTAATGGACTCTTCTAAGTCCACCTCCAGCATGTCCTACCCAGCCCTCAGACGTATTCGTAAGTGCATGCGACTGCACCAGCTGACGGATGCTTGGCGCCTGCTTCACCCTACTGATAGGGATTACACGTTTTTCTCTAAACCCCACCAGTCCTATTCCAGAATCGACATGTTCCTGGTCAGACATACTGATCTCCCTCGTTCAAAAACTGCGACTATAGGATCGATCTCCCTTTCTGACCATGCTGTGATCTCACTGGACATAGACTTATCCCAGACACCACCTCCCCCCTGGACTTGGAGACTGAATGAATCACTCTTGCAAGATGACTCTATATCCCAGTCAGTGCGCTCCGAACTACAATCTTATTTTTCCATCAATGCTGCCCCAGACTGTGACCCTGTGATTTTGTGGGAAGCTCACAAAGCCTACATTAGGGGTGTTCTCATCAAACACGGCTCTCGTGTCAAACGTGCTAGACTAGCCCAGATTACTGACCTACTTGCCAAAATCCACTCTCTCGAGACTCTCCATAAACGCACCCTGGCAGTTGGAGCCATAGGGGAACTGACGGCATTGAGGCTTCGTCTGCAATCCCTTTACTTGTTCAAGGTGAAAAATGCGCTAACCAGATGTAGACACACTTTCTATGAATTTGGGGACAAGTGCGGGAAACTTCTTGCTAGAGCTCTGCGCACTCAACGGGAAAGGTCCTTTATTCCTGCGATTTTGACTCGCAATCGTACGAAAGTCTCCCAAACCAAAGACATAGCAGAGACATTTCGGCTATATTATTCGTCCCTTTATAACCTTGGGGGAGACGCTAGAGCCCAGGGAGCTCGGCCTTCTACAGAGGCCGTTCTCGAATACCTCAGGGACTCAGGAATGCCTCGACTCTCGAGTGACGCTACTCTGGCTCTGGACTCGCCCATCACATCCGAGGAACTGACCCTAGCAATCTCACAGACTGCCAAGGGGAAGGCACCGGGGCCGGATGTTTGTTCTACTTTGTTGGGGCATTTAAGGGGATGGGCTCTAGATACCCTCAGAGCCCATATCGCAGTGATACCCAAGGA